TATATATATATATATATATATATATATATATATATATATATATATATTATATATTTATGACAGCCCAGTTACAAGGATGCCTGAAGCGCCAGCATAACATTATGACGTCATGCTCGCCGTTGAGTTTATATTTGTGAAAATTTACACATTTGCACTGTTCGAGTGTTGTCATTGTGTTAGAGTAAATGTCATGAATAAATCTGACATTAAACATAATCCAAGTTGAAGTGTTGCATCATTTTCAGCCCCCTTTTTGGCATCTGCATTTGGTAGCAGGCCAAACTGACAAAGACCGTGTAGAATAATGTAGTATTTTAATTCAACAGTAGAGAAAGCTGTGTAGTCTCTGTAAGTAGGTCTAGGGGAAAAAAGTATCGGTATTGATATCGGTTATCGGCCAAATAAGTTTGAACATATTGGCATATCGGATATTGGCCAAAAATTCAATATCGTGCATCCCTTCAAAAAAGTAAATGTACGAAAATAAGAACGATGCATTTTTTACAATAATTTAAAATTACACATGAAAGCACAGGATTCTCCATGAAAAAATTAACACTATCGTTAAAACACTTGATGACGCCTCCTTTTTTAAACCAAGTTCTTTCATCTTAAAACGATGAACATAGGATTGCATTTTTTTTAATAGAAAAAGTTATAAAGTTCATCAAATGTTGGCCTGTATAAAATATTTAGTCTGTCAAAAGTCAGACTTTAGTGTTAACATGCCCGCTCAAATTTACATTTATATTCAATGTCACACTCGGCTTAAGTTTTTTTTTTTTAATGTTTGATCATTTATTCACACTAAATTAGAAAACATTTTAGGAGACGAAGCTTAAATCAGACAAATATATGTATTTTAATTATTTATTTTTTGGCTGCTCCCTTCTTCAGGGGTCACCACAGTGAAATGTCTTGGCAATAGTTTGGCAAGATCAAGACCTGGTGATTGTTTTTACACTGGAGGTCCTTCCTGACACAACCACAGACCACCGAGCTACCACAGCTCTCTGCGTGGAGCAGAGAGCTGCCATCGAGGGGCGCCTGGGGGAGCAGATGGTCAGGGTTATGTGCCTTGCTCAAGAGCCCAGAGTGGGGCAAATGAGGGTGGAGGCAGGTGTGGGTGTTTCACATTTCCCAACCACATTTTGATGTTGTCTGTCCAGGGAGTTGAACCAGCGACCTTCCAATCACAGGCCCACCTTCTCTACCCTCTGCACCACCACTCCCCCAATCAGACAAATGTATTTGACGCGAACCAAATCGTATAGTTAAAAAAGTCATTTCAATCCATCATTTAGCATCTTAGCTTTTGTTTGCTTTGATGCTGCGTGCAGTGGGTTCTCTGCGTGCACGCCATGTTTCACAAATCACTCTCACGTCTGCGGTTGAGCACGGTGGGTGAACTAAGCTCAGGCAAAGAAACACTTGTGGCCAGTCTCGCTGGCTTATGGGAGTGTAAGAGTAATGGTGTGGTTTGGTGTGTGAACAGGCCACACACACGATCTTTGCTTACTTTACCCACACATTTCAATTGAGCTTGCAAAGTGCTGAATGCTAATAACAATGATTCTAGGAAACTTCATGCAGTGAAGGGTTTACTCGGGGCATTGGGACAGGAGGTCAGGAAGTGGTTCTTTGTGCCAACGTCGTGCCAGTGTGGGCAGTTTGGATTGTTGCTAAGGGTATAATCACAGCCTATCTCATTACTCCTGGATGGAAACGCTGTCAGTCAATTTGTCAGCTTTTCTATACGAACTATTATCCGTGATGGGATACCGATCGTACTGGGCTGTCAGGGTTATTGATCATGGCATTGCTTCAAGGTCTGTTTGCTAATGAACTAATTAAAATCATTAGGCCAAGCACATGTGGTAACTGAAGAAGGCAGCCGCAGAAATGCTGGAGAAATGAGTCATTCTGCAAACAGATTCCTAAAATATCGACTCTTTAAGATTCATTTCTTTAGATTTATTAGGACAATGAGGAAATAGTGATAGTTTTTTTTTGTACCTCAAACTGTTTTGCAACATAGAAAATGCAATATGAAAACAGTGCTTTGAAGCAACAGTTAGTCATTTAGATATTGGTCATATGTGTATTGATGCACTTCACAGATTTAGTCAAATGTGTTTGCTGAAGTGATGGAAGGAGACTCTGTACATCAACTGACGTATACCATGAGCTACAGAATTCTCATATTAGTTATATTATTATCATAATAATTCAGATTAGAGTTGCAATAAAGGCTGAAGCTTCTTTGTTAATAAACTAGGGTTTAACTGCTTTAAATAACAGAAGGGAAAGAAAAGATTTTACTTTGCCTGATGACATATCTATTTTCATCTTACCTTAATACACCATTTGCCATAAACTGATCCAATAAGGAGTTTGTTCAAAAAGTTTTGTTCTATGAATTTATTTAAAGAAAGGGAGTCAAACAGTGACTTGGTTAATTTAATCCTAAGTAAAATGTCAAGTTTGGGTAAAGGATTCTGAATAAGCCAGACACAGGAGTCCAAAAACAAGAACAGTTTTTATTATTAGCTGCTGGATGGAGGAGTCAGGGTCCAGGCAGGAGTCCAGTCTTAAAGACAGAGAGGTTAGTGACTTTGGCGAGGACGAGGAGGTTCTGTGGGTTACTGTAAAAGTCACTAACCTTCTCAGTCTGTAATGTGGCGGGTGCTGTTGTCGTGCTGGTGCCGGTTTGTGGTCCGTGGGGGGCAAATCCAAACCCAGGGTCTCAGAAACGTAGCAGGGGTCATGCACAGGAAAGCTGAAAGCAGAAGCTAGAGCCAAACCGTGATCCATGAGGTGACGTTGTAGAAAAAGGAAGGCAGGGTTGATACTGTGTTCAGAGCGAAGAATCCAAATCCGAAGAGGGGCAGGCAAGGCGAGGAAACCGCGGTACAGGCGAGGGGTCAAGGCAAGGCTACAAGGCTACGGCGTGAAACAGGAACTACTGTATGATGGCTTCAAAATCAGTGACCACGAAAGGTTTAATAATTCGGCAACAAGGAAGTGAGTGACTGGAGCTTAAATAGTGCAGATAACAGGTGCGTGGAATCAGGGCTGATTGCTGTGGAGGTCCAAGGGAGGTGTGGCATGGAGTGACAGGATCAGGCTTGAGCTGAGAGATGGGTGATAGGCAAAACAAAGCAGGGAAACAGAAACTATGGCAGGATGGGCAGAAATGTGGCACGCAGAGCAGAGACGTGAGCAGATGGCGGGTCAGCAGGGGCCGCTGACCATCACCAAAAATCTTTAGTTTGAAGGTAACCACTCTACCACTGAGCTTCAGCAGCTTCACTAAAGGCTCTGCTTCTTGTACTTATTAAAAAACGAAGAGTTTTGGTAAAAACAATAGACCTAAAAAAGAAAAAAGACTTTGTTTGGTGATACGGGACATGAGTACCTAAGCCAGGGCTTAGGCATTAGGCGGTTTTATGTATAAAAAAGAAAAAACATTACAAGGATGCAATGTCTGAGTAAAAGAGGAGAAAGAAGAATCTCTCTAGATATGTGGAAACTTTAGTCCAGTTGTGGGGAGGGAGTCAACAGAACGATGGATCCTGAGAGAATGATCACGTTCTGGAGTTTCCACCAGATTAATGGAAAACTGAGCCCGCCGCTCTCACTCATTTATGAAAGCAAAATACTTATTTGGTGGAATTCCCTTTCAACGTGCTCTAGATTGTGGTTGTTTCTGCAATGGTGGAAAATGAAGATGTTCTTTTTATGTCCGTTTTCAGCAAAAGCAACACAGAGGGAGGCTCCTTCCGACTCTTCGCTGTGAAGGTGTGAGAAGCGTGAAGAAAAAGAAAGGAGGAAGTGCTCACAGGTTGGACATCATTCGTTTGACTCTGCCTCAGTGGAGTCTCAGAAAAATGACGGACACTTTACGCTCTTTTGAACAGTAGTCTCCAATAAAAAGCCTTTTTCATCCCATCATCCAGTACTTCTGTTTTCACAGGCTGTTGTCTGTGAAAACAGAATGTTTTTTTTGTATTTTGGTGGACAGGTGGTGCTGGAAGCCTTTAGTCAGAAATAATCATGTTTACAATAATATTTTTATTACAAACATATGTTTTTATACACAAGAATGTATACTGATCACACTGTATTTAATCGTTTTGTACAGAGCGTATTTTGTTTGTTTTAATAATACTTACTATGTATTAATACTTTTGTGTTTTTTTTTTTAAAGAGCCATTTTTGTTCATGTGTATTATTCAGTAGCTGTTTTAACCCAAAATGACCAAACGTTTCAGCTTTTGAGCAACAAAACATTTTAGAGTTCACAGTGAGATCCCAAATCACTGATTTTTTTCTGTAAATACACATCCAAGTTCTGACAATATTAATAAGTAAGATTATAAATATGAGTTTTGAGTGTAGGTATTGATGGTTGGATGGCAGTGACACAACGAGGGCGAGACAATGGAGATAATCAAAGTTCTGATAATTTGGATTTATGTGGGGTGGGGGGGGGGGGTATAAAAATGGAAAGATGTGAGTATCACAAAGAGTGGATGTTGTTTTTTAAATGAGCTGTAAAATCTTACTTACTGTTTTATATTTACATTATGCTTTCCTAATTTTGTTTCTTACCTTTTTGGTCCCAAATGTGTATAAAGTACAGGAATGCAATATTAACCCTTTCCACTCCCACCTAAGACAATTGAATGTGTTGATCTTTTTGTGTTTTTGTGATCAGGTTAAAAAAAATCCATCGTAAAACAACAGATTTGGAATGATTTTATTGCACCCGTAGAAAACATCTTTTTTTATATTTATCAATCTTGGTTTTTCTCTCAGTCGTGCTTGGTTAGGCCCCCGAATACATTACTACAGACGTTCTTTAAAACTGATATTCTTAAATAATTTTGTCACAAGATTCTGATAAAAACTCTTAAATATCCCTGTGACACCACTAGGCGGTGAGAACATTTGCATTTACAACCCATCAAAGTGGAAAGGAAAAACATTTTGAACCTGGCTACAAATTAAAAGTGCCTTGATTTGTTCTGTGACACCGTTTACTATTTCCTTTGGGATAATAATTATTTCTGCACACAGTTGAAGTTTATTGATAAGCAGATTAGGATAAAGTAAGATTAAAAAAGAAACAGTTAAAAAAAAGCCCCATTGTTATGGTTTCTATTGCACAAAGTGATATTTTGCACACAGGAAATAAAATATATCATTGTTTTGCAGCAAACACTGCAAAAAAAATAAAATTGTTTAAAAAAAATTCTTGGATTAGTGTAGACAGGTCCTTTATCTTGAGTAATAATTTTTTTCTCTGTTCATCTGTCCTAATACAACACTTTTATTACATGGAGATAGATGACAAAAAGTTTTTATGTGTAAATTAATAATACAAGATTATATTTTTTGTACAACTGGCCTGGTCAGTTATGATCCGAATGCACAGCAAACGTGTCGTATCTATGTCATATCTATGTCGTATCTATGTCGTATCTATGTCGTATCTATGTCGCCCTCTTTGCTCCATTCGTTAGTTTTCTTTGTGTAAAATCTAATTTACACGCTGCAGACGTGCGCCTTCAAGTGTATTTTAACTTTTCTCTTTTTATTCTACCTCACTCCTATTGCTATGCTCAGTTTATAAGTCTTTTCTCATAGGAAAAGCAAAAGGTTTTGTAAAAATATTTGAAACTGTAAATACTATCATTGTTTTTAAATCATACTTTTGTAAAATTTTAATAAAAACAAGTTAATTTTCTGTATTGTTTTTATTTTTTTGTACACGTGTAGGACACATTCTGTACTTTTTGCACAGTAACAAAATACAAAATATGTTTAATAATTGCAACCGTTGCTGTTTGTTTTTTTAAAGTTGTGTCAAGAAAGAATTAAAAACACAGGTTATGTATAGATGTTTTCAGTTTTAGACACGGTGCATTATGCTTTGTGAACTTTGAAGCACTTTTATAGTTGGTTTAGTAAAATGCATGATGTTGCATAAAGACAAAAGTTATTTTTTCTCACTTGCATAATCCTAAATTAAAATAAAATCGAGCTTTGATGTGAGCACTAACCCAAACAGCTAAAACAATATGGCAAATGCATAATTTTACCTTTTGACTGTCTAAAAACTTCCATCCATCCATTTTCTTTACTCGCTTCTTCCTTTTTGGGTCATGGGGGTCACTGGTGCCCATGTCCAGCAGTTGTGCGAGAGGCGGGGAACACCCTGGACAGGTCTCCAGTCCATCACAGGGACACCTGGACAGTGTTAGAAGTTTAATCTTGCTGAAGGCCCGGTCTGGTCCACCCTGACTCGTAACCTGGTTCAGAACAGATACAGTCTCAGCTGCTCACAAGGAGCAATCCCAGGGTCAAAACCCGATGAGTCATTTTTGTTTGCTTGCTTCCAACACTTAGATCTGCACATCACCCTGTTATCCACCATCAGAAAAAGATAAGATCAGTGATGTCACACATAGTCACCCCACTGATACACTCTGATGGGCTGTGCCTGCCCCAGATCCAGTTCATCTCAGGGACACATAGAGACGAACGAGACAAACAACCATTCACTGTCTGACTCTCACCTAGGGATAATTCAGGGGTCTAGGAAGCTCAGTCCTCACCTCCTTCTACAGGTGTGCAGTGGAGAGCATCCTGTGCTCCAGCATCAACGTGTGGCATGGAGGCTGCACAGCTGCAGAAAGAAAAGCTTTGCAGAGAGTGGTGAAAGCTGCACAGAAGTCTGTTGGAGTCAGCCTCCCCACCATCACAGACATCTACACCTCCAGATGCAGGAAGAGGGACACCTGCATCATGAAGGACCCCACTCACCCAGCACACACACTTTTTGCCCCGCTCCCCTCAGAAAGGAGGTTAAGGAGCATTAAGTGTAGAACCACTAGACTGAGGAACAGCTTCTACCCTGAGGCTGTTAGACTCATGAATCCCTAACCAGAATAATCACTGTGAAAAACCATATCATGTGACTGTGTTCATTCGTACTCATCTGCTCACACGGGCTCATGTTCGTACTGCTGTTCGGCGTATTGTTTTAGTGCTTAATGTATTTTTAGTTGTTTTTCTTAGTTCATATTTTAGATCTTATTACTGTTTTTCTTTTACATTTTAATACTTTTGTTGGATGTAACTGGGAACCTGTGTACACAATTTTGTTCCACCTCATGTACCACATGTGGTGTGAATGACAAAAAAAAGAATCTTGAATCTAGAGTTACCAGTCAGTCTAACATGCATGTTCTTGGTCTGTGGGAGGAAACTGGAGTACCCAGAGAAAACCCACACATTCACAGAGAGAACATGCAAACTCCATCCAGAAAGGTCCCGGGACCGGGAATTGAACCGTCGTCCTGCTCGCTGAGAGGCATCAGCTCTACCAACTGTGCCACTGTGCTGCCCTCTCTACTGTAATTAGTTTCTACCTACAAGGCAACTTTAAACCACTTCTACATTCAGTTGGTTTCATTCACAAACATATTAAATGCACTTTAAACAAAGTTCATGACTAAAATCTACGTAACTTGAATTATGAATGAAGTGAAGACCAAGACCACCCACTGTTTGTCTGTTGTCTTTGGAAGAGACCGTGTTCATCTGACTCGGCTTCTTGTGGGTACAAAGAGAAGTGAAACATGTTATAATGATCCCTTTTTAAAAACCACGTACAGAGAACAATCTGCCAATAACACTTTCACTTCACACCGTTGATGTCTCCAGTTTTACACTTCAGGGTAACGTTCTCGATCTGCTATGGACTAACTGAGGTGATACAGTCTCCATATTCAGTATTATTTCTATGAGAACGTGGCTCTGAAAGCTCGTCACACTGCAGGTCTTTTGTCAAAGACAGATGTTCAGTTTTAGCTAAGCCCTGGTTGGAATCCACTCTGGACGTTTCACTGATAAACGGCTGCATTTGGCTTGTGTGATGACTGTTTTACTCCCGTTGTCAGTGGAAATAAAGATTTGTATTATCACTAAAAATCCCCAGCTTTGAATAATATCTCGTTCCAACTTCAGGTCTACTATTTTTTCTGTGTCCTTTTCACAACAGAACATTTTGGTTGAAGCAGCAGTTACATAATGAACAAACGCCATATAAGTTGCATCTTTATGCATCACCGCTGTCGCGCCGAGTTTGTTACGTGTCACCGCTGACAACATGGACATGTGGGCCGAACCCGGAGATATGGGCCGGTGTTGTGCCAAAAATCAAATGGCTGCCAAATGACCACGGGAGTGTGCACGGGAGGACTTTAACAAGAATTTAACAAGATTAACACTTAAAAACAATTGTTTGTTTGCTCATAATTATACTAAAGGTGTGTCTTAGTCTAACTTTTGCTTAATAAATTCACTTTGACGGTCAAATCAGCTGCATTTTAAAAAGCCGATACATGGAAACATTAACGCGCAGAATGCGACTTACTGTCCACTTCTTCGAAATTTTTACAAGATAAGCACCTAAAAACAATTATTTGTTTGCTCGACTTTATAGTAAATGTGTGTCTCAGTTGAATTTTTACTTAATAAATGCATTTCAATGGTCAAATCAGCTGCATTTCATCAGGGCGGTGCAGTGAAATGAAGCTGATTTGACGGTTGCTCCAGGCTGTGGCAAGCCAATTGTATCATTAATAGCCACTTTTACCTATTACATGATACAGCGGCATGCCATACTGCTCGACTGCCATCTAGCGGCTGAAAATGGTAGTGTTCAATATTTTCAGTCAGAATGAATGAAAACGGTCATATCTCAGCCAAATATTGGTTTATAAATATGGAAAAAAAATCCATAAATACGTTGCT